TGTAAGCTTGTTAGTTGCGATCGTAGACAGTGCTCAATTGAAATGTCATGGGAGAGACAGTACCTAAAGTACCTATTTAAAACTGTTACAAGTGCTTACTTGGTTTGAATATCAGTGGCCATTTAAAGATTTAATGGTGCTAAGATATTTTAAATCTGTACAATATTTTGGAATTCAAACGGTTTTAAAATAATTTTAACATTACAAAGCGCTAGGCAGCGCCATCTGTTGTAGAGCAGTCTTAAACAGGTCAAGAAGTCGTGTCAGTTAGATCTACTGTTTTATTTAAGACAAAAATGTGTTAATGTCTACTAAAATATTTTACACAACTCAATAAAAATGTTTAGATTATTCAAGTAAATTTTGGAACGAAAATAAATGTTTTTGAAATCCAACGCCTATTTTGAGGTTATCCAAAAGAAATGTTTCCCGTTCTAAATTTAAATTTCGACAAACAAAAGGATTCGACCTTTTTCTTTGCAGTGCTACTTTCTTCACTAGACCGGGCTTTAAAGAAACACTGGCAGAATAGAAAAAAAAACAATCAAACACCGTCTCTAAAAAGGCTCTCGGCGCGATGCGAGCCGCCAAGGCGGCCGTCGCCGGCTTACTTTCGAATCGGACGTCTAAAACTCCGACCAAAAAACGATCTATCCGATACAAATATTGCACACGGCGGCGGCGGTGGAGAGAGAGAGAGAAAAAAAGAGGAGACCCGCAAACGGAGCCGCGTTTTATTTTTCCGTGAAAGGAGCCAGCGCGCATTGTGACTGCGCGCGATGCGCCTGCGCACAAAACGAACAAAACCTGACGCGGAGCGCCGCGCGACAGAGACGAGAGCACTCGAAATCCCCACGAGTGAAAGGGACGGCCTAGCTATGGGCGTTGCGCCGTCGAAACCGGCGCCCAATTGAAGATCAGTGGGCTTCCAGATGGGCGGGATCCGAGTGATCCAGGCTAATGGGGATCGAGACGAAATGATCTATAGATCGCGGCAGCGCGGCCGCCGTATTGTTGCCGTTAATATCGTGGATTGTTCATTTTATATTTACTCTCGATGGCTGAATAAATATCGCCGTGCGGATTTTATAAATTCGGGATCCGTTTACGAGTTGGACCTTGGGCCAATGTATGGTCCCGATGTTTTCAGGTTTGCATTTAGTGCTAGCACTCTCCCTGCGGCCTTTACCTGCCGTCCATTAGATTGCGTCCTAAAAGGCTATAGATAAGTTAAGATCTAATAATGTACACATTAAATAAAACCTTGAAACACCGGAGTACTATTTTACGATTTACCAATAACGTATCGTTACTCAACAAGATATTAACAATTTGTTAATATCTTGTTGTGATATTAACAATTTGTTAATATCTTGTCAATTCTTTAATGCTATCTCACATTTATTCATTAATACTTTTGACTAATTTGGAAGTGTTAAAAGGGCATACACAAATTCTAGCACCCTTACAGCCGTTTTCATTTTTCTTTCAAAATCATACTGTCCACTAAAATAATGATCTGATAAAAAAAAAAACAAAACAAAGACAACGCATCCTATTGAAACATCTAAATCCTACGTCCCATTCAATCAATGCGCACTCGAGCGTTTCGAAATTGCCGTTAACGTTTCAAACATCGAGAGTTAACTAATGAGCGACTGGCAGTTTCGATTGGGACGTCATCGTGGAGGAGAAAAAAAAACAACGGGCATTTGTTGAAGGTACGTCACTAGAGCACGCCAGATCTATAATTTAATAGGCGAGTACTTCAATAGAACCGCGCCCGTATTGTATGGAGTTACGCGAACGACGCATTCGCTCCCGCTTCCTGCCCTTAATTATCTGTAACTCTATACCATATTCCGTGGCGTTTGTAGTTCTGCCAGCAGACGGATGGCATTCGAAATTCAAATTTTAGTTAGGATTCGTTGCTTTTTTTAAAAATGGCACCAATACCTCAGAAATATATATTCAGCCAGCGCTATTAATATTTGATTAAAAAAGAGGTTTTAACATAATTACTTGTCTGCCGTATAGGCATTTATTAATTACTTATTGGAGTACATTTTGTAGAGAACGTTGTCCATTTTACGCTTTGTAATTAGCGCCCATTATAGTATATAATTATTCATGTTGACGCCGTTCAAGAACATCTGCTTCATAGCGACATTTTAATATTAGTAGCGATCTTATCACAACATTGACATAGAGACAACGCCATTAATTTACTCTCATGAATTGTTTTTCAAGAAATATGCACATACGAGTATATTTTCAAGACCTTGTTTTGCTATAATACTTTGCAGATATTTGCTTTGGATGCAGCTGTAAAAAATTGTATTTCTTTTTACTTTTCTATTTCTTTTTCATTTTATCATGCCAATATTATATTTGCATATTGGATTTATTTATATCACTTTACCCTGCGCTAAAACGTCAAGGAAAATGGTCGAAAATCCGTAATCGCTGATAATCTCCCAATTTTAATTTCTTTAATTTTATCATACGAAATCAATTTAGTCTAATATTGCAATATTTATTCTTCGCATTTAAAATTTCTTCTTGACACCTATATACCTAATTTCGGGTAATAATGAGTAACATAACTCAAGCCAAATCATGGTTATTGTTATTGAGTTGGTCCGTAGATCTTTGACTAATGCTGGTTATCTTTATCGGCTAACCCGAACTAAGTCTTAACATGAGCCTATACAATGATGGGTATATCGGTAAGAAAGCATTCCCCATAAATTCAAAGAAGTATGATCTATTTTTGTGAGCTTGGAACACTATCATTAATTTATTCTTTGTGTTAAACGTGAATTCCAATCTATTGTTGTTTCATAATAATAATTTAGAATACATATAATAAATTGACAAACTGTAAAGTCCAACCACAATTGCGTTTTGTTCCTTAATACAATACCTACGTAAACAAATAAATGATTTAATTATATTTTTAAGTCGACATACCTCTAAAATCGGAAAGAAGGGGTCTCTGATTTAAAGGTGGCTTTGTGTGGACTTATTTTGTAATATTCTTTCCGTATAGTTACCTAAACCAAGGATATTTTTTATATATCATGGCGTCAGTGGTACATGAATCTTGTATATTACTGCATGTACTATGTGTTGAGCTGAGAAATAACCTAACCTCACTGCAGTTACTCTATATTGTACTCATTTAACCGTAGAGAAAGAGTAAAGAGTCCAGACGAAACACTCAAAAATTAAAAAAAAAATTATTTCTGTTCATGACAAGCTTCCCTTTATTTGAAGAAAAACTAAATTTAAATTTTGTCATTTATAATCGGAAACAACTACTTTTCCCGCCTAAAATCAAAAGAAAAGTTTATCGTAAAACAAATCAAGACATTCAAAGGCCACCCGGTGCAATTAACCCAGGCAGAGGTTATAAAAGTCCCTCGAAAACTCCATAACAAAGATCTGACGATAAAACATGTTATAATGGGCTATCGGCAAAATTTTCCATCGACTAAGCACTGTTTTTTCAAGCTACCCCCTTACTTCGTAGATTTCTAATCTTGGAAAAACCAGTTGTTGCGTTGAAATATAGAAAGTTCAGTTCGCTTCGTACTTCGATCGTTAACTGACAGATTTATTGAGACCCACAATGAAATAGACAATAGCAGATAGACGTCTAAAACTGCATGTTTAGAATCAATACAACTTTTTTAGCGAAAAATGAATGAGATAAACGTTCATATATTTAAAATGCACATTGTCCCGTTGTATCTTCGTATATCTTTTCACAATACTTATTCGAGCGCCTGAAGATAAATCGAAATGATTTTGAAAAATTAAATTTAACTGATTTTCCAATCACAATAGTCGCAATAGGAGACTTTCAGAAAGAAAAAAGAAGTATTAAAACATTTTAAAAATATATATATTTTACACTTCGCTCACATCATGTAACAAACAAGCAAAGTGTCATCCTTAGAACTCTTAATTTAGCCATAAACATGAAGTAATATTACGCGTGACAATAAATCCCTAAAAAATTATAACTAGGTACATCTTGAATTGGACGGCTTGAAAACTTGAACAATCCAAACCAAAATTCCACACTTTGCCGTAGATTCCGTTTTCGCGTGTCTACTATTTAATATACAGACCTGTTGGTTAATTGAACAAGCTTATTAAATATAATTATATTTGTGTAACTGCAGTGTTCACTTCAGTGAATAAAGGTAAAAAATAATTCAGCTAAATGTTCGACACTAGCCCTAAAATATCTCTAAACCATTTCTTGGATGGATCTCGGTTAATTTTGTTTTTAATCATGCTTGAAAGCACTTCACAGAACACTTCTAATCTACGGATTTGGATAGTCACAGGATAGCAAGTTAAAAATCAAAATTTAACGCATCCTTACGGATACAGGATATTCTTAAGAGTGTGTAATAGAGGTTTTTGAATAGTCTAGTCTGTTTTAAAATTATTAATGTCAATAGAGAACGCAACATAATTTATTAAAAAGTCAAATCTTTAAAAGGTTTTTTAAAAAAAATAAAGCAAACCAGAATAATTTTCTACTTTCACAACAAGACTGAAGAATTTCCCTGACACGTGTAGAGAAAAAAAATAAATACAATTTCATTCTTATGTTAACCTTCAGACACAAGTTCAATATAACAAATTTAATATTATTCATTTCGCAATTGAATAGCTTAGGTACAATACATAAACGACGATCAAACTCCCAAACGTCCCGAAACTTCTTTTTTTTTCCGTCTGGCAACAATGATTTCCAAATTCGAATTCAACATCTGCCGACACTCAATAGTCTCGCATTGTCACCGTTCTTTTTTCAAATTTCCCCATTTACATCGTAGGGTGATTGCGGAGCCGTCTGCGGATGGGCAACCGCCGTCCATTCCGAAATGAACCCAAAGCCCTCGGATTAAGGGCGCGTTCGTCGGTTTCGAGTGGCAGTATTACATTTGCGCGCGCGTAGTTGGATTATTCGTATTTTACGGCTTCGCGGGGTTTGGGGCGGCGTTTGTAATCCAGTGTTGGATTTCGGCGGACCGTGTCGGCGTAGAGTGGGCGATTTTAAATGTATCATGTGTCCGCTCGGGGCTCGCAGTCGGCGTGAACGGTTTCGTCCTTCGCGCGGTTGCACACATGGCCGACGCCGGTTTGTGGGAGCGTGTTCTAAAGTTGGCCGCACTGCTATCAGATATGGCACGCTGCGTGACGTAACACATACCTAAGCAGTTATGAGGCGCTTCATGAGTGAACTTCACGCGTGCACGAATCAGATTTTGTTTGATCCTAATTGAATTCTATGTGTCGTTGGATAATAGCAAAAAGAACGATAGATAACTGCAATGTTTCGTCTAACAAAGAATGTGATGCTGCAATTCTGCGACGTTGGGAATTCAAAGGCATATAAATTTTTTATTGCCGTTGAATGAGTAAAACAGTTTTATTTCAAAATCCTCATAGTCTATGCCTCTCTCTTATCAAGGTGGGCAACGCAACTGCAAGCCTTCACTAAATTCACATCAGGTTACCACCACCTTTGTCTATTTTTAAAGTAGTCTTAATAAGTTTTTAAAAACTGAACCTCGAAAATGAATAAATTTTGTACTAGTTTAGTGTTAATTGAAGTCTCAGAGTACGAATGTTATTTGTTAACGCCGGTAGTTGGATGTCGAAAAAATACGTCACAGCCCAAAGTCCATCACACCACCTCGACTACGTCTTGTACGCCATCTTAGCTTTCGGCCATTCTCTGTTAGCTACCACCGCTGTAACACCTACCTTTAAGTTGTAAATTATACGCTACATTTAATTTCGCTATTTATTTTCAAATCCTTAAACTTCAACCGAGGGAATCCATCACGCAAGGGCCCTCACATTGGTCCTTCGAGCCGGATTTGAATACAGCGAGCTTAGAAGATGCATAATTAACGCGCATTTAAAGTCAGACTGGAAATAACCACGTGGCGAGGATACATTGAAGATTTATTGAAGCCTGAAGCCTATAGTCGGATTTGCTACCATATTTCAAGCTTGGGACAAGGGAAGGTGCTGGGCGGAATTGATATAAAGCGCAAGTGTGATTTGGTTCATGCGAGTTACCCGTTTGATTGTAATCAGCTGATTAAGAATACCGTTGCTTGTAATTACCAGCCCACGCGTACACATTTCAAACGTAATGTACTAAACCTTTCTTTGGTTACTAAAATGGGGTTATCCGATAATTTAGAAAGCGCAGGTAGATCACGCGATAAATCTCCATACAAAGATGATGCCAATTCTTCTATCATTCGCGATTGCATAAGAAAACGTGGCATCATAAAAGGTAGGCTAACTAAGTTCTCAAATTATTTGAATTCTTTTAGTTGCGAGGACGACTTATTTGGTCAACAACGAGTCGACTTAAAGTTGCGTATACAAGGCGCAACAAATTTATTTTCCGAATTTAATATTATTCAAACAAAACTAGAGGAGTGTGTACCTGATTCTGATTTAGATGAACAGTTAACGCAAAGAGAATTGTTCGAGGATTTTTACTATAGCATGTTAGCGAAGGCAGAATGTTTATATAGTAAGAGTGAAGTCGTTAGTCATACTTGCGATTCGAAACAAGCAAACGCTTCAATTAAATTGCATACGATAACTATGCCCACCTTCGACGGTTCTTATGAGCACTGGCTTGAGTTCCGTGATACCTTTGTATCATTAGTTCACAGTTCTAAAGGATTAAGTAGTATACAGAAATACCATTATTTAATATCGTCGTTAAAAGGGAGCGCATCATTAGTTATAAATTCATTACAGTTATGTAGTCAAAATTATGAAGTAGCTTGGGATCTATTATTAAACCGGTACAATAACAACAGATTACTTATTCAAAATTACGTCAAATCATTGTTTACGATGCAACCGTTGAGTAAGGAATCGCCTATGATATTAAGAATGTTAATAGACAACGTTCTTAAAAATTTACGTGCACTCAAAACGCTCGGTAAGCCAACAGAACACTGGGATAGATTTTTATTTAATTATTTATTGATAGAACCACCAACGGAATAACATGTTGTTTTTTGTTATAAAAACTGACAATAGACTTAGGAAATTACATGTCATTTAAAGGTAGTTACAGCGTGTTTTAAAAAGACGATAAGTGTACGATAACTCAATAATAATTACAAGTATGAGTAAAATACTAATAAGAAACAACAAAAAAAAACAACAATAAGACAATAAGAAAAATAAGAAAATTAAAAATTTATAAAAATAATAACAATTTATAGAGCTTATATAAAATTATGGTAGAATTATTTTTTTGAATTATTAAATAGTTTGAAAATGTTGGCTCTAAAAGTTTTTATACTATCGCTAAATAAGTCAATAGCTTATCTTTAAGCACACATTCGTTAACAATCTGCTTATTCTCGGTATAAGAGAGTGATGACCAAGATTAGTTTTATACAATTTGTGATTGAGTAAGGGAATCGTAAAACGCGGTACACGGCAGGGAACTTTAAACAATATTTGTGATAGTAATTCTGCAGAATCTATGGTTCCATTTGTAAGCTTGTACAAAAAAACTAAATCATGTAGTTTAGTTTTTTTGTACAAGCTTACAAATGGAACCATATAAGCTAAAACTAGCGAAGACGTCCTTAAATTCTTGAAGGACAGAGCTGACATGTTGGAAGCATTGCAAGTAACGCACAGTAAACAACACAGCAATAAATTCAAAGCACCTATTAATAATAACATTCACTGTCATGCTTCCAGCACACTACGCCGCAGTTCCGGAATAATAAGGACGCTAAGAAGTTATGTGTGGTATGTAACTTAAATCATCCGTTATACTCATGTCAAAAATTTCTCGATTTGAATTTAGAATCAAGGTTATTACTTGTTAAAAACAATAAATTATGTCTCAACTGCTTGCGCCCAGGGCATGCCGTCGACTACTGTCGCTTCGGCCCGTGCCGTTTTTATGTAATAAAAAACCTAATACGCTCATACACAACGGAAGCGAACCCAATCAACCCATCTCGCTTCAAACAATGCAGCCCGCCGCATCACTCGCAACTGTTTCGGACGCACGCACTAATAATGAACCCATTGCACCTATTCAGGTAAACAACGCGCAAATGAAACATCAATACGCGCAACCGGTTTTGTTATCCTTTGTGCTCATAAAAATAGCAGATTCAAGTAATAATTATCACTTAGCGTATTCCCTGCTCGATAGCGGAAGTCAGCGATCTTTTATTACAAAATCTTTATGCGATAAGCTAAATTTACCACTATTACAGTCCACTCATGAAATAAAAGGTGTTGGAAATTCGTTTACACATACTACGAATGTATGTGAAGTCGAAATAAAATCGCGCATCCACCCTTACACCACACGTTTACAATGTTTCGTTCTATCAAGTATTACGTCAACAATGCCAGCGTTGTCGGAACAAAGCGCACGGGTTATTATACCGAACGACATTCAGCTGGCCGATCCGCAATTTTATAAGTCCCATAATATAGATATATTATTTGATCCGTTGGGATTACTCAGTCCTTTCATTATTACCGCCAAAACATTGCTTCAAAGTTTATGGTTGTTGAAATCGGATTGGGATGACGAGGTACCAAGCAATATCGCGCAGATTTGGTATCAATTCGCTAGCGAGCTACCACTGCTCAACTCACTGAGAATACCACGGCATGTTGTAGGCACTAATCCTAACTATATAGAACTGCATATATTTACAGATGCGTCAGAAGCGGCATACGGTGCTTGTATTTATGTTCGCACGCTTAACGCTGATTCCACGGTCTCGAACTGCTTGCTCTGTTCGAAAAGTAAAGTCGCTCCACTAAAACCAGTGAGTATCCCAAGGCTCGAACTGTGTGGAGCTTTACTGGGAGCTAGGCTTTTCGACAAGGTGCGTGACTCACTTAAAATTCCATTTCGCAATATCGTGTTCTGGTGTGACTCAACCATAGTCTTAGGTTGGTTACGTATGGCTCCACACCTATTAAAAACATTTGTTCAAAACAGGGTGGCGGAGATCCATGAATTAACAAATGCGCACCCGTGGCGTCACGTAAGCAGTGAAGAAAATCCTGCCGATTTAGTTTCGCGTTGAGTTCGCCTTAAAGAACTTTCTTCAACTTTCTGGTTACATGGCCCGTCTTTTCTTCACGACTACAATTTTAATATTAATAAGTTACATTCAATTTCTCACGCACGAATACCAGACGAGTCAAATTTACCGGAAATTAAATCAAAGGCAATAATCTCTTTGTCTACTAAAACAACGCTTGTACTATCTCTATTTCCTTTCGATAGGTTTTCTCAATACGATCGTATGAGACGGGCAGGAGCTTACGTACTGCGCTTTGTTTTTAATACGCGCAATAGGAATAAACGTACGTGCGGGCCTCTGTCTGTCGACGAAATAAAATATTCCGAGTTAATGCTTATAAGATTTATGCAATTAGAATCATTTGGGGAACAATACAATTTAATTATAAATAATAGACAGATTAAAAATAGACATAAACTGTCCAACTTAAATTTATTTATGGATAACAATAAAGTTCTACGAGTTGGTGGACGTTTAAATAATTCGACTGATTTCGCATATAATAAAAGGCATCCTATTTTAATCTCTTCCAAACATTGGTTTTCAGTGCTTTTGTTTCGGTATGAGCATAGACGGTTGCAGCACGCGGGACCGCAGGCGCTTTTGTATAGCTTGCGCGAAATGTACTGGCCTGTCGCAGGCAGGAACCTCGCCAGACAAGTGGTGCATAGTTGCGTCACCTGTCGAAAGTTACGAGCTAAAACGCTTAGTCCAATAATGGGCAATCTACCGCAGGAAAGGATCACGCCTAGTTTTCCGTTTTTACGATGTGGTGTCGATTACGCTGGGCCAGTGCTCACTTTGAACCGCAAAGGTAGAGGCTCAAGGCTTATTAAAAGTTACGTTTGCTTATTTATCTGCTTTGTCACGCGCGCTGTTCATCTAGAACTAGTCAGTGATCTCTCTACAGATGCATATTTACTAGCTCTTAAAAGATTTATATCCCGCCGCGGTAAACCTTCAGACATATTTTCGGACAATGGCAAAAATTTCGTAGGGCTTATGAACGAATTTGCCAAATTTCTCTCTAATTGCTCTGAACATATAATTGAATACGCAACAAGCCAAAGCATTAATTTTAGATGTACTGT